ATTCGTGACCTAGATTCCATGCCCAAGCCTTTTGATTTTGAGGATTATTTTTTCTTGGAGGAAGATTCCTGCTCCATTTTGACCGCTTTGCAGCTGGGATCCATCTGAATAAAAGATAATCTTGTGGTTGTCTCTACCAGCAAGCCATTGAGATATTAGCGCCTTGTGTTCCTGGGCTGCTTGCTCTTTTGGTTTGCTAGATATAGATATATCTATTATTTGGTTTAATGGCTGGGACCAGGGGGTAGGGTGTGATCTAGTGTCTGGAAGGTGCCTTTCCATGTTTTAAAAGAGAAAAGTGCTAGCAGTCGAATTAACTGGCTAGGGTGTTTTCTTTGTGTCTCTCTAGGATGGTATTCAGGGTCTTCTAGATCTAGCCGTCTAGGTTTCTCATTCCAGTCTAAAACCTTGATTGGTCAATGGCAAATTCCCCGGGTTTAGCGTAAACGTGGTTGGAAGTCTGCTTTGGATTGCATGGGATTTTATAAAATAAGCAGTCCTGAGTACATAGTTTCTGCAGATTTTATTAAATCTAACTAATGGTGGGGGCAGGGATGCTTCTATTTCCATGGCCTGTATAGGCGATGTTTTAAAAGTCCCTAGAATTTTCCTTAGGGCTGTATTTTGCAGTTTCTGGTAGTGGTCTACTAGGTAACTGTTGGCCTTTCCACCATAAAGGGACTCCATAGTCTGCAATAGACGAAATGCATGCTATATAGAGTTGTCTTATAGCTTGGAAGCTTAGCCCCTTTTCTGTATTTGAGAGCCTCGCTATTTGGTGAAATGCCCTAGTTGCAGCTGCAACTCGTATTTGCACGTGTTCTTTGAAAAGGAGTTTAGAATCTATGTAGATTCCTAGCCATTTTACCATAGGGCTTGGTTTAACTATGATATTATTATCTAGTTTAACCTGGATGTCTTGGTTTTCTTGGTCTGGTTGTTTAGAGCTAAAGTGAATAAGCTCTATTTTATCCTGGTCAAACTGGATATGGTCTTTGGCTCCTTTTTTAAACATGGCATTGGCTACCAGCTCTATTTGCCTGCAGTTATTCTCTAGGCTATTAGAGCTAATAGTAAGGCATATATCATCCATATAGCTAGGCTTTCGGGTATTTCCAAAGGCTTTCCTTGTATCACTATCTAGTTCCTCATACATTTCAAGCTGAAAGAGCTCTCTAATATATATAGGAACAAGATAGGTGATATAGGTGATCCCTGGGGGATCCCTACTTGCACTGGGGTCTCGTTGCTGGTTTCACCGTCAAAAGCTAGGAACACTTTCCTGTCCGACATAAAGGATTTGATCCACCGGATCAGGTTATGTGGAAGACCTAGTTTTAGACATATTCTAAGTAGCTGGTTGGTAGATACATGGTCAAAAGCTCCTTTTACATCTATAAAAAGAGCTGTAGTAACCATTTTATTATGTTTTGCCACCTCTATGTCATGGACTAGGGATAGTGCTATGTCAATTGCTGATTTCTTTTTCTTCCCCCATTTGGTCATGGTAAAGGATTGATTGCGGGAGTTCAGCTAGATAAGATAGCCTAGTTGCAATAATCTTCTCTACTACCTTGCCTAGGCAGTTAAGCAGGGAAATAACTCTGTAGGCCTTGGGCTTGGAGTAGTCCCTTTTAGCAGACGCGGATTTTTAAGAATAACCCCTTTGGCAGTTTTCCAACATTTGGGATGATAACCATTTCTAATTAGGGCTTTATAAAGCTCGTGGAATCTCGGAGCAATATTTTGGTAAGCCTTTTGAATAATTAAGAATGAGATGTCATCAGGTCCAGGAGCCTTTTTTGTAGAGCTACTAAAGATAGCAGTGTACACCTCGTTTTCCCTGGTTTCTGGCCAGTTGGTTGACTCTGCCTGGTTGGTTGGCCACTCAATGGGCTTAGCCTCCGGGGTTTTGAAACAGGGTGGAAAGAAATGCATGACATTTATCTTGAAAGGAGATTGCTTGCTTCTCTTGATTCTCTATAGAATAGGTCAAGATAGGCAGTTTTTGAACAGATCTCTTTTTAGTATAGCTAAAAGCTTTGAAAATCTCCCTGTTCCGAGCTTCTTCTAGGAATTTGTTCCAGCATGCGGATTTAGCTTGCTTAATCTCCCGGAAATATTGATTTTTAATCTCTAGAAGATTTTCGTAGAGCTCTGGACATGGGTTATTTTTCCAAAGTTTTCTAGCTTTTCCAAGCTGTTTCCTTAGTATTTTAAGTTCCTTTGACCACCATGCTTTTGACTGGGCAGATGGTTTTCTTCTTGGGATACTAGCATCTGCAGCTATTTGAATTATTTCTTGCAGATTTAGAGCTGCGGTTTCTAGCTCTATATCGGTATTAAAGCTCCCCTGTCTGAATTCTTGGCTTGTATCTAGCTCGAGGATTTTCTTGCTGAATAATGCCCAATTTGCCATTTTTAGGTTATATGGTAAACTGACCAGGGGTTTTCAATTTCTTGTGTTTTTACTTCAACAGAATAAAGCAAAATTTCGTGGTCTGATCCCGAGGCGAGTTCTTGGTCAATTTCCCAATTTACTCTATATTGATTTAGACCTTTGGTAATAAAGGTTAAGTCAATAACAGAGACATTTCTCATTCCTTTTCTATGGCATGTTTGCAGGTCAGGTTTATTTAGCAGTTCACATTGATGTTCTTCAAGCCATTTAATCAAAGTATCAGCCCTGGTAGGTGATAATGTCTTTGAGTTCCACCAGCTATGGTGTGCATTAAAGTCCCCCTATTACTGCATGTGTGGAGGGGGTAACCCTAGCTAGGGCTCTTTCTATTGTCCACTCGGCGCCTTCCTCTAGTGATTGCTCGTTATATATATTTATTAGCTGCAGATCTTGGATTTCTGCACCTAAGATATCTATTACCAGCAAATCACTATCAGTGCTAATATCGTTTCTTTGGCAATAATTAAACCTAGATAGCTTTCTATGGTAGATTGCTACTCTAGGTCTAACCTTGGTTTGCTCAGGGAGGATTGGGGTGTATGCTGGGTGGGATATAGTAAAGCTATTATCAGGCGCTATCCATGGTTCCTGGATGATAATAAAGTCGATATTAAGCTCCAGGCCTATTTCTAAGCAAGATAACATAGCATTCTGATTGCGTCCAGTATTATTTTGCAGGAAATAGATTCCTAAATCAGTGTTTTTCTGATTCATTAGTAATCTAATTCCATGTTACTGTTTGGGATTGGTCTTTCTGTAGGCCTAGGCCTTGGTTTTGGTTTGACTTTTTCCCATTCCTTGCAGTTTTGCTATCTGCTCTGTGGGCTTGATTGCAATTAGCGCATTTAACCTGTGTGTGGGGACATTCCTGGCTTTTTACTTCGCATGTGGAACATTCATGGTATTGGGTTTCATGCCTTTCTGCGCAAATAGCGCATTTTGGATTATTCTTGCAGTATTTGGCAATATGCTTGTATCCTTGGCATTTTGGCATTGGGCAGTTTTCTCTATATATTTAGTAGCTCTACATAAAGCTCCTGCAACACAGAGTTGATTTTTAATTGCCTTGGATGCCATGGCTTCATTCTGCACGTCCACTACAATAGAGGAGTGATTTTTGGTCTCGCGGACATGTTCTGGGGTCAGCCATGTTGGGGGCCTCATTAGTTTTAGACCTGGGTTAAAGATTTCGATCTCTTCCTTGAGCATCTGCATGCCTTCTTGGGTTTCAAAAGGCCTGGTGGGGACCATGTGAATAACTATTTTTGCCCATGGTTCATCAAACATCCACTTGGTATAGGGGATAAGTGGTTTCCAGACATCCAGCTTCTCTATTAAATAAGGCGCCTGAATACCGTCCATTGTGGTGAGGATAAGGGTCCTTTTAGTAAAGGAAGTGCTTGCTGTCCTTACTATAGGTTTGTCTACCTTTTCTTTTATCTGGAACTGGTGGTTGATTTGGTTTCGGAGCTTTAAGGAGTCTAGGTCTTGCAGAAATTCTGCAGAAACCTCTAGAATAAGCCTACTACCTTTGTAGGCGGCCTGTTCTACCCGTTTTGGCTGATCTTGTTTCTTGGTTGGGATAACTACTTGCGGTTTTATTCCTTTTGGACTGCTGCTGCGTATGAAGGCTTTACTGGTTTTGCTTTGGTTGAGAAGAGGCTAGGGCTATTTTATCAAGTTTTTGATTAATAGCGTTAACCTCTTTCTGGAGTTTTTGAAGTTGATTGTCTTTGGAAAGCAGGGATCCTTTAGCTTCCGGATTTTGCAATTTGTCTTGGATAGCTGAGAGGCCCTCCAGATGCATATCTAGAGCTTCAAGGATCTTAGCATTTGCTAAACTATGGTGGATCTCTTGCAGTAAGATCTATTCCACAGGCCTGGGGCGGATGTTGGTAGAGTCTGGTTAGGGTCGGATAACAGTGGGGCGAGGATCGTGCGCTGATTGGCTAGCAGAATTCTCGTTAACATATAGTCGTTCCAAATTATAAACGTAGGGTAGCTCGACAACCCATAATCCACCATAGCTTAAATTTTTATAGTAGATGCAGGACACCTATAAAAGTAACTTGGCAAAATGGGAGCTTGAAATTCCGTTATATAATACTGTGGTGGTGGTCGATGTTTATTATTCGACTTAATTATTTTGTTGGGGTATCACAGCCGACCGAGCCGTTATTACATAACCACCAAACTTGCCAGGTTGCAGGATTATTTAGGAAAGAGGTAAACACACCCAACTGCAGTTATACGATCGCGTTTAAATAAACAATTTAATTTCGGCCATGGAGCACCAGATATTCGAGAAGCTTGATATGTTACCTGTTATTATTTGCAAGCAATGCCAGCATGGTGTGTGGCCCCCGAGGTTCTCCGCCATTTAAAAATCGCGCCCATCAAATCCCACACGCCGATGCTGTCCAGATTAGCGAGAAGGTAATGCAATGGGAGGATATTGCGCATTCCCCGATCAGGTTAATTTTCCCCATCAGTTGGACCAGGCGTTGGTTGGAATACCCGTACAACCTGATGGTTTATTATGTCGGCGGGATTCCCGGGCTGTCAGTACATAGGAAGAACAATTGAGAATATGCGAAAGCACTGGCGCACCACCCATGGATGGTCCCAGTATCCGCATGGTGGTCGAGTAAGCCGTGACGAGCGCGTGCGTGCAGATGCTGAGCTGCAGCGATCCTTTATATCTGTGACATGCCAGCAGATATTCCCATCGCGCAAAGGATCGCATTATATTCACATCCGCAATCCAAATGAGAACGACGAACCGGCGATCCCCACAGATGATATTCAGGTTGCTGTCCAGGAGCTAGAGAACGCGTGGAAGGAGGCGCAGTCCACGCCGAGTACAATTCAGGCATCTGATATTACCGACGCCAACCCATGGCTGCGCATGACCCGGTGGTCCGAGTATTTAGAAGGAATCGCACCAAAGGATCTAACCGACAGCGTGGCGCCGCCCGAGGAAGAGCCCACAGATCCCGTGGAGCAGGGCGTGCGCCACATTTGGGCCGCCATGGAGCAGGTCGTGCGCAAGAGCCAGCGCGTGGTCCAGCACAGCGGCCAGGCAATCTGCATTGAAGCCATCCGATCTGAAAAGGGTCAAACACCATATCGACCGTTGCAGGCGTATATGGATACCGAGAGCGTGGTTAAGCATATGCAGCCATGGCAGCAAATCCTAGCGTTTATCGCGCGCACCCAGGCGCCACACGGATGGACGAGTCCCCGTACGGGATGACAGCACGGCAGCGCAAGAAATGGCGGCAGTTATGGCACCTCGCCACTACCCACCGGGATATTCCCGGCGAGCCGCAGGACGACGACGCAGCGTGGCGCATGACCCCGATCGAAGGCGCGTGTTTGGAGTTTTGCATCGAGTTGCTAAACCAAAAGCAGCGTAGCCATGAGTACGAGAGCGTGCTTGTATGTGCCATGGCCGTGTTGGGATGGGGCCGGGACAGATGGCAGGGCCCGGAGAGTTATCCCCGATCTTATCGCGTGTGATCAAGGTGGCGCGCTTTATAATTGTCCAGAAAGCGCTTTGGTTGGATCCGAATCCCGAGGAGATTATCGCGGTGTGGCAGAAGAAGAGTAACTGCGCGCAGTGGGTGCTCGCCAGCGCCGACGACGAGCTGGAGGATATTTATTCGGACGAGGGATATTACAGTCAACCAGAGCAAGGCATCCCATCATCGCCCCCACATCGCCCATTACCAGCAGTAATCCCCAACCGATAGTGAATATCCGCCGGCAGAATCGCGGGAAAACATTCCAGGAGCACGTGGAGTGGATGGTGCAGCGGTTTATGGTGCGTGGCACCCACAGTCCAATACAAACGTTGCAGGATTGGCGCACGTACGGGTTAAAGATCCATTATAATACCACGGCGCCCGGGCACATTACATGGAACCATGGCGACGAGCTCGGATACAAGCATATCACATTTACCATGGGCGATTTCCGCGGATTTGTCCATGGATTGGTCGGGGCCACACGCCAGATATTGTGCGACATACTGTGCGTGACAGCGCGGGAAGACATTCCCAGTATTCCATGGCACGCGATCTACGACGACCCCACGCAGGCCACGGTGGGATGGAATTTTTGCGGGATCAGCGCACGCAATGGCCGGTGGGGCCCAAGTGGATGATCGGCCGGTTGCGGGCCGAGCCGGCCGTGCAGAAGGAGTTTACCGTCCGGCGCCAAGCCCGACGGCTGCACATGCCGAAGGTGGCGCAGTATCTGGAGCGCGTGGCGCGATTTAAGGAGAAATTAGCAGTGCTTGTTCACGTGGTATCCGGCCAGCCGGCTCGCGCACCCGAGTTATTAAGTATTCAACATGTGAATACCGTGGCGAATCGACAGCGCAATATCTATATCGAGGACGGGATGGTGGCGTTGGTGACGGCGTACCACAAGGGGTTTTACGCGAGTAACGATATAAAGATCATTCATCGATTTGTGCCACGGGAGGTGGGTGAATTAATTGTGTGGTATTTATGGTTGGTATTACCATTTGTGCAGCAACTAAGCGCATGGCATGCGAAGCAGACGCAGGGCACCACGGCGCAGGGCATGCACGCAACGCAGGGAACGCACGCAGTGCAGGGCACCACCACAGCGCAGGGCACGAACGCAACGCAGGGCACGCAGGGAATACGCGCAGTACAGGGCACCACCACAGCGCAAAGCACCACCACAGCGCAAAGCACCACCACAGCGCAGGGCACCACGGTGCAGGGCGCTCACGCAACGCAGGGCACGTACACATCGCAGGGCACACGTACGCAGCGCAGGGCACCACGGCACAGGGCATGGACGCAACGCAGGGCACGCACGCAACGCAGGGCACGTACACATCGCAGGGCACGCACGCAGCGCAGGGCACGCACGCAGCGCAGGGCACCACAGCGCAGGGCACGCACGCAGCGCAGGGCACCACAGCGCAGGGCACGCACGCAGCGCAGATCCGCGAAGATGCGTTTTATGGGGCCCCGACCCCGGAACCCGGCGCAAATGGACGTCCGAGCGGTTCCGGGAGGTGTTAAAGCGCGAAACCAAGACCCGGTTAAAAGAAGCCATTAATATCCAGTGGTATCGGGATATCGCCATTGGGATTAGCCGACGATTTTTGCGACCCACTGCCGCGTTTGCCAGCAACATGCAGGAGGAGAGAGACTTGGCGCAGGCTGTGTTAAACGCCGACACCGAGGAGGGTATGGACGAGGAGCAGTGGTTAGGCCATATTGCAGACTTGCAGGCGGCGCATTCATCCCAATTGGCGGGTGGAGTGTACGGCCGTGGTATTATGGAGCAGCCCGGGACCACGGCACATCGCCGTGCAATGTTTCGACTCTCCAGCACCGATTGGCACCGGTTTTGGGGTTTGCATCCGCCGCGGAGCCCAGCCCGTTGGGGAAGCGCAAGAGATCACCATGGGAGGACGAAGCCGAGGAGGGCCGAGTGGTCCGACGTCACCGGTTAAATATCGCAGATATGCGCACCACGTTGCAGCACATGACCGGGCAAGAGGATATCCAGTTCCGGGGCGTCCAAGCACCGGCGTTGCGCGCCATTCAGGACGGCAAGAGCCCGGTGGTCGCCATTATGCGCACCGGAGGGGAAAAGCATGTTGTTTATGTTACCTGCATTCGCCGAGCCCAGTGGTACTACCATTGTGGTCGTGCCATTAATATCATTGCGGAACGATATGGTGCGGCGCTGTCGCGAGTTGGGTATATCCTGCATTGAATGGGATAGTCGACGGCCACCGGACGAAGCGACAATTGTACTGGTCACACCGGAATCCGCGGTGCAGGAGGATTTTCAAACGTTTATTAACCGGTTGCAGCAAACACGCCGGTTAGACCGGATCGTGATCGACGAATGCCATGTGATATTAAACGACCAAACGGATTTCCGACCCGAGTTGCGACAGCTGGGGCGGTTGAACCACGCGCGAACCCAGATGGTGTTATTAACTGCCACGTTGCCGCCGCGGTTGGAGGCGAAGTTATTCCGGCGCATGGAGTATTCCCGCGAGCAAGTCCATATATTTCGGGACCGGACAAGCCGTCCCAACGTGGCGTATCGCGTGTGGCGGCCCGAGCTGGGTCGGCGTTCCATGCAGTGGTTTACCAGCGAGCCGGTGCTCGCGTTTATCCGCGAGCGAATCCAGCGCGCCAAGGATGGCAAGGTGGTGGTATACGGCCATGTGGTCCGTCAGGTAGTGGAGATTGCACGCGAGTTAGCGTGCGAGGCGTACTACAGCAAGCAGGTTGACAAGCCATCTATATTACAGCGATTTACCCGGGGCGAGGCGCGAGTAATTACCGCCACCAGTGCATTGGGCATGGGTGTGGATATCCCCGATATTCGCAGTATTATCCATATTGGAACACCGCGGTCGTTGTTGGAGTACGGGCAGGAAAGTGGGCGAGCCGGACGGGATAGCCAGCGCAGCGAGGCGATTATTATCCAGCCCGAGGGCTGGGACGAGCCCACGCCGGAGACGCCAGAGGCCGTGGCGGATCGCGAGTTGGTGGACGAGTACCTCGGGGTGGCGCCCGGGGTGGGATGTCGACGGTTTGTATTGGACGCGTACATGGACGAAACAGTGAATGGCTATACGCGCCGATACTGTCAGGATATTGATTCCACCGAGGCACTCTGTGACGGCTGTGACGCCGATTGGCTCGCGCAGGAGTCGGTTTGCATGTCCCCGGACAGATATTCCCCGGACACCCGCATGGACGATCTCGCCAGCACGACAAGCCCACCACGCGAGATTAGCGCTACGGGCAGTCCCCATTCCCATGGTAGTGGCGAATTATTTCCATTATCGCATATTATACCACAGAGCACGCAGAATATCGCGCCAAATCCCACACGCCGGTCCCAATCCCATGACAATACAGAATCATTTGAAACTCAAGTAATATCGCATGTTATACCACAGAGCACGCAAAATATCGCCCCCAATCCCACGCCCACGGTTAGTATCGCCGAACGCCAGCGCCAACGGGTGCAAGACCAGCGCCATGCAGCGCCCGTATTCAACACCAGGTGCAAGATGCACGGCAGTGGTTGGACGAGGAAACTATTGAAAACGAGATAGCACCATGGCAGAAAAAGTGCTATATTTGCACCATTGCAGGACGGGAACGGAACGAACACGAGTTATACTTTTGTCGTGGGCCCAAAAGCGACAAAGCCAAGGCATGGGTTAATCTAGTTCGCCAGTATAAGATTCCATTCGCTAGATATACCGCTTGTTACCGCTGTTATATGCCGCAGACGATCTGTCGACGATGGGAGGTACTAGATGGCCATCCAACACAAACCGAGTGTGTATATAAGGATATATTGGTCCCCATGACAGCTGTAATACTGTACGGCCCGTGGGAGGAGCAGATCCAGCCACTATGGCAGCGCCGGTTGCAGCAGCACGGGGTGGACGCAAACAACACCATGCAAGTGTTGCAGTTTTTGGGGCAGGCCACGGAGGGAGCCAAAGGCCAGCACAGCCAGTTATTCGCATTATTTTGCTGGCTATGGCAGATCTGCAAAAATTGGGGGGATCCACGGGGTTTGTGGTATAACTAGTTAGTATACAGTGTAGCAAGAACAGTAATATATTTATAATTGTTATTTAGACTAATAAGTGTATATAATATAGGAGCACATGCAGAGCATATATAATATAGGGATATAAACAGCGGTGGACACACGTACTAGGCAGAGGTATATACCAGGGAACCAAGAGAAGGTACGCACCGGGGAAAGGACGCACTGGGGGGATAAATATACCAGGAAAGGATACATACTAGGGGAGGTACGCACCGCGAGGCATGTACCGTAAAAGGATATATACTAGGGGGAGGTACGCACCGGGAGAAGGCATGCACCAGGAGGAGGCACGCACCGGGGAGGGTACGCACCGGGGGAGGTACGCACCGGGGAAGGCATGTACCGGGGTAAACACGCACCGGGGAAACACGCACCGGGGCAAAGACGCACCAGGGCAAACACGCACCGGGGCAAACATGCAATGGGGGAGGCATGTACCAGGGGGGAGGTACGTACCGGGGCAAAAACACACCGGGGTAAACACACACCAGGGCAAACACGCACCGGGGTAAACACACGCACCGGGGCAAATATATATCAGGGGACGCATATATTAAAATAAACAAACGCAAAGTATATATACTAGGTGGAGGTATGCACCGGGAGAAGGCATGCACCGGGAGAAGGCACGGACCAGGGGGAGGTACGCACCGGGGGGGGTACGCACCGGGGGAGGTATGTATCAGGGGAGGTACGCACCGGGGGAGGTACACACCGGGGGGAAGGCATGTACTAGGGCAAAGGCGCACCGGGGTAAACACACACCAGGGCAAAGACGCACCAGGGTAAACACGCACTGGTGGAAGGTACGCACCCGGGGGAGGCATATACCAGGGGAGGTACGCACCGGTGGAAGGCATATACCAGGGGAGAGGTATATACTAGTAAACACACACACCGAGGGGGTATATACCCGGGGAGATATACACTGGGGGTAGATATGCAGCGGGGGAGATATGTATACTAGGAGGAGGTACACACACTGTGGGGGAGGTAACACACCAAGGGGATGTATACACACCGGGGGAGGTATGCACACCGGGGGAGGTATACACACCGGGGGGAGGTATGTACACCCGGGGGAGGCATGTACTAGTGTAAATATGTATTAGGGGAACATAGTCACCGCAGAGATACGCACCAGCAGGAGCCACGTACCAGGGGAGGTACGCACCGGGGGAGTTACGTACCAGGGGGAGCCATGTACCGGGGAGATATATACCAGGGGGAGGCACACGCACCGGGGGAGGCACACGCACCGGGGGAGGTACATACCAGGGGCAGGTATGCACCGCGGGGGAGATATATACCAGGAAAAAATACGCACCGGGGAGAGGGTACGCACTGGGGAAAGGTATGCGCTGGGGGAGGTATATAGTAGTAAAAATATATACTAGAGGAAGGTATAAAAGTATAAAAAAAGGCATGTATTAGAAAAAGCACACGTAAAATATATACACGCAGGGAGGTGTATAAAGTAAAGGGAGCACATGCTAAGTATATACACCAGGGATATATATACCAGGGGGACGCATGTACTAGGGGACAGGGGATATATATACTAAAATTATATATGCCAGGGAATATATATATACTAGGGTACACACACACAACAGGGGGGAGATATGCACCGAGGGAAGGTACACACCGGGGGGAGGCATGTACCAGGGGGAGGTACGCACCGGGGAGGTGTATACCAGGGCAAGGCATATACCCCCGGGGAGGTACGCACTAGGGGAAGGCATATAGCAGTTAACACGTGTACCGGGGGTGAAATACGTACCAAGGAGGGTATACACCGGTGGGAGGTACGCACCGGGGGAGGTATATACCAGGGGGAGGTACGCACCGGGGGAAAGCATGTACCAAGGTAAACACGTACCGGGATAAACACGCACCAGGGTAAACACGCACCGGGGGATATATATACCGGGAAAAATATATACCAGGGGAGGTACGCACCAGGGGCAGGTATGCACCGGGGGGAGATATATACTAAGGGGAGGTATATACACAGGGAGATATACACACACCGGGGGAGACACACACACCCGGGGGGTGTGCGCACCAGGGGGAGCCACGTACCAGGGGAGGCATATACCAGGGGGAGCCATGTGCCGGGGAAATACATACCAGGGGCAGATACACACACCGGGGGAGATACGCACCGGGGCAGGCATGCACCAAGGGGAGGCATGTACCAGGGGTAGGTATATACTAGTAAACACACGAACTGGGGGAGATACACACTAGCAGGAGCTATATACCAGGGGAGGACGCACCGGGGGGGACATGTATCGGGAAAGAATATACACTGGGGGAGATACGCACCGGGGGGAGGACGCACCGGGGGGATATATGTACCAGGAAAAGGATATATACTGGGGGAGGTATACACCGGGGTAAACACATACCAGGGTAAACACGCACCGGGGTAAAGACGCACCGGGGCAAACACGCACCGGGGAGGCATATACCAGGGGAGGTACGCACCGGGGTAAAGACGCACCGGGGCAAACACGCACCGGGGGAGGCATGTACCAGGGGAGGTACGCACCGGGGTAAAACGCACCGGGGTAAAGTATACACCAGCGCGAGGTACACACTGGGGGGGGATACGCACCGGGGGAGGTACGCACCGGGGGAGGTACGCACCGGGGAGGGGTACGCACCGGGGCAAACACGCACCGGGGTAAACACGCACCGGGGGAGGCATGTACCAGGGGGAGGTACACACCAGGGCAAACACGCACCGGGGCAAACACGCACCGGGGTAAACATAAACCGGGGTAAACATGTACCGGGTGACGCATATATTAAAGTGAATAAACGCAAACTATATATACCAGGGAATATACACAGGCAGTGTTTTAAGCATATACAGAGTATATATAGCAAGGAAATACACACACTGGGGGTAATACACACCCGGGAGGCACATACCGGAGGAGGTATACACCGGGGAGACATACACCAGAGGGAGCCACGTGCCGGGGAAGATACACACCGGGGGGAGGTACGCACTAGGGGAGGTATATACCAGGGGAGGTACGCACCGGGGTAAAACATGTACCGGGTGACGCATATATTAAAAAGTAAATAAACGCAAACTATATATACCAGGGAATATACACAGGCAGTGTTTTTAGCATATGCAGAGTATATATAGCAAGGAAATACACACACCAGGGGGTAATACACACCCGGGAGAGGCACACCCGGAGGAGGTATACACCAGGGGGAGGCATACACCAGGGGAAGCCACGTGCCGGGGAGATATACACACCAGAGGGAGGTACGCACCGGGGGGAGGCGAATACCAGGGCAAGGCATATACCCGGGGGGAGGTACGCACCGGGGTAAACACACACCGGGGTGAACACGCACCGGGGGAGGTATACACACGAGGGGAGGTATGCACCGGAGGAAGGCATATACTAGGAAAAGGTATGTACTAGTTAATACACGCACCGGGGTAAAGTATACACCAGGGTGAAGTTTGCACCAGGGTAAAAGTATGCACCGGGGGAGGTACACACTGGGGGAGAATACACTGGGGGAAGGACACACCGGGGGATATATATACCGGGAAAAAATACACACCAGGGGAGATACGCACCAGGGAAAGGTATGAACTAAGGGGAGGTACGCACTGGGGGAAGGCATATAGCAGTTAACACGTGTACCGGGGGTGAAATGTGTATTAAGAATAAATATATACTAGTAGGAGATACGCACCGGGGAGGTACGCACCGGGGGGAGGTACACACTAGGGGGAGGTATGCACCGGGGGAGATACAGTCCGGGGAGAGGGACACACCAAGGGTAGGTATATACTGGTGTAAACATGCACCGGGGTAAACACATACCAGGGTAAACACGCACCGGGGGAAGCATGCACCGGGGTAAACACGCACCGGGGGAGGCATGTACCAGGGGGAGGTACGCACCGGGGCAAAGACTTACCGGGGTAAACACGCACCGGGGGAAGTATGTACCAGGGGAGATACGTACCGGGGAAGGCATGTACCAGGGGGAGGTACACACCGGGGTAAACACGCACCGGGGCAAACACGCACCGGTGGGAGGTACACACCGAGTGGAGGCATATACCAGGGGAGGTACGCACTGGGGGAAGGCATGTACCAGGGAGGGCATATACCAGTGGACACACGCACCGGGGAGGTATGTACCCGGGGGAGATATACACCGGGGGAGGTACGCACCGGGGGGAGTTACGCACCAGGGGAGCCATGTACCGGGGGAGGTATATGCCAGGGGAGGCACACGCACCGGGGAAGGTACGCACCGAGGGGAGGTACACACCGAGGGAAGGTACGCACCGGGGGGAGGTACGCACCGGGGGGAGGTACGCACCGGGGGAGGTACGCACCGGGGGAGGTACGCACCGGGGGAGATACGCACCGGGGGAGATACGCACCGGGGGAGGTACGCACCGGGGGGAAGCACGCACCGGGGGAGGCATGTACCAGGGGAGGTACGCACCGGGGCAAAGACTTACCGGGGTAAACACGCACCAGGGCAAACACGCACCGGGGTAAACACGCACTAGGGGAGACATGTACCAGGGGAGATACACACCGGGGTAAAGACTTACCAGGGCAAAGACTCACCGGGGTAAACATGCACCAGGGGTAAATATATACCAGGGGACGCATATATTAAAGTAAACAAACGCAAAGTATATATACTAGGGGATATACACAGGCAGTGTTTTAAGCATATGCAGAGTATAAGTAGCAAGGGAATATATACACCAGGGGAGGTATATACCGCAGGAGGTATATACCGGGGAGATATACACCAGGGGGAGCCACATGCCGGGGAGATACACACCGGGGGGAGGTACGCACCGGGGGAAAAGGGATGTACTAGGGGAAGGGATGTACTAGGGGAAGGTACGCACCAGTAAACACACACACCGGGGTAAAAGTATACACCGGGGTAAAGTTTGCACCGGGGGTAAAGTATATACCAGCGGGAGGTACGCACCGGGGGAGGAGGCACTGGGGGAGGGAGAACGCACCGGGGAGAACACACCGGGGGAGATATATGTACCGGGAAAGGATACACACTAGGGGAAGGCACGCACCGGGGGGAAGTACGCACCGGGAAGAGATATATAATAGTGGGAGGCACGTACCGAGGGGAGGTACGGACTGGGGAAAAGGCATATATTATAGGGAGGCATGGACCAGGGGAGGCATATAGCAGTTAATATATGTACCGGGGGAAATATATACCAAGGAGAGGTACGCACCGGGGGAGACATATACCAGGGGAGGTACGCACCAGGGGAAGGCACGTACCAGGGTAAACACGCACCGGGGGAGGCATGTACCAGGGGACGCATATATTAAAGTAAACAAATACAAAGTATATATACTAGGGGATGTACACACGCAGTGTTTAAAGTATATATAGAGTATATGTAGCAAGGGAATATATATACCAGGGGAGATATAGTCCGGGGAGAGGGACACACCAAGAATAGGTATGTACCGGGGTAAACACGCACTGGGGCAAACACGCACCGGAGGAAACACGTGCCGGGGCAAACATATACCAGGGTAAACACGTGCCGGCGCAAACACGCACCGGGGCAAACACGCACCGGGGAAACACGCACCAGGGTAAACACGTGCCGGGGAAACACGCACCGGGGTAAACACGTGCCGGGGTAAACACGTGCCGGGGCAAACACGTGCCGGGGTAAACATGTGCCGGGGCAAACACGCACCGGGGAAACACGCACCGGGGTAAACACGTGCCGGGGGAAACACGCACCGCAGTAAACACGTGCCGGGGTAAACACGTGCCAGGGGCAAACACGTGCCGGAGGGCAAACACGTGCCGGGGCAAACACGTGCCAGGGCAAACACGTGCCAGGGCAAACACGTGCCAGGGCAAACACGCACCGGGGTAAACACACACCGGGGAGGTATGTATTAGGGGAGGTACGCACTAGAAAAAGGTATATACCAGGGTAAACATGTACCGAGGTAAACACGCACCGAGGTAAACACACACTAGGAAAGGCATGTACTAGGGAAAGGATACATACCAGGGGAAATACACACCGGGGAGATACGCACCGGGGGGAGGCATATACTAGGGGGAGGCATGTACCGGGAAGAGGCATGTATTAGGGGAAAAGGTATATACCAGGGGGAGATACGCACCGGGGAAAATATGCACTGGGGGAGGTACACATATAAGGGGAAGATACGCACCAGGGGAAGGCATGTACCAGGGGAGATACACACTGGGAAGAGATACATACCAGGGGAAGGCACGTACCGAGGGGAGGTACGCACTGGGGGAAGGCATATAGCAGTTAACACGTGTACCGGGGGTGAAATGCGTACTAAGGAGAGGTATATATCAGTGGGAGGTACGCACCGGGGAGGTATATACCAGGGGAGGCATGTACCGGGGGGGGGCATGTACCGGGGGAGGCATGTACCGGGGGAGGCATGTACCGGGGGAGGCATGTACCGGGGGCAGGCACCACCAGGGGAAGTATACAGTATTAAAATAACAAGTAGTATAGTAAATATATATAATATAGGGAGCATATGCAAAGTATATACTAGGGGGATATATATACCAGGAGGGAAGCATGCAGCATAGAAATAATATAATAGGCAACCAAAATGGTTCCAAACTAGTTTCCAACCAGTTCAGCAGGTTACCAAGGAATTAAAAGCTTATAAGTAGTTAACAAGCAGTTTTAAAGTAGTTTATAAGTAGTTTTGTAATAGTTAAAAGTAGTAAATTACATAGTTATATATATAATTAAATATGTTAATTAATAAGTGGTTAAATAGTAATTAAAGGGTTCCATGTAAATATAGGGGATTGTTAATTAGTATTATAGTTTAAAAAGGGTTAATATTTATACAAAGTATTTAAATATTTTAAAGATTTATTTTTAACCAAGTAATAATAGGGATACGATTCGTGTTTTATAAAGTTATAATAAAATAAATAGGAATTATATAAAGGGATTAACAGAGGAATAGGATCACATAAGGGTTTAAGGGCAGAGGAACAGGGGTAACATAAGGGTTTAAGGGCAGAGGAACAGGGGTAATATAAGGGTTTAATAAAGGAAAAATTAGGAGAAGATAATTATTTAATAATAAAAAAAGGGGGAGAATATAAGGGTTTACAAATAAAAGTTCGGTAATATAAGGATTTTATAAGTAAAAAAAAATTAGGTAATATTAGGTTTATAAATAGAGGAATAGGGCAATATTAGGATTTAAGAGTAGAGGAATGGGGTAACATAAAGGGTTTTAATAAAGGTAGAATAGGGGAGATAATAATAGTTTAACAGAAAAAGAGAGGGGAGAATATAAGGGTTTAGTAAAAATAAAATTAGGACAAAGGTACAGGTTTATAATAATAAAAAAAAAAAAAAAAATTAGTAAAAACAGGATCAGGGTTTTAATAATAAAAAAAAAATAGTACTAGAGATTAGGAATAATTAATAAAATAGATTAATCAGAAAAATCAGGGGGAGTAAATAAGGGCAGAGATTATTAATTAAATTAATATAACAAGATAACTAATTAATATAAAGGGATTAATCAAGGAAAGAATCAGGGATTGGATTTAGGAATATAATTTATAAGTGTGGGTTAAAAGTTAGGGTTTAATAGCAAAAATTAAGTATATTAACCAGGGTTAAATAGGGATTATATTAGAGGTGGTTATAATAAAGGCGGGGATTAATTAAAAAAAAAGGTTCAAGTGGATAATATATAAAAAGAATAGGGAAAAAAAGGGATTAATTAAGCAGGAATTTAAATTATAATTTAAACTAGATTAGTTTTATAACATTGTTGCAAAGAATAAATTAGAATTATATAAAGGGATTAATAGAGGAAAAAATAGGGATTATATAAGGGTTTACAGGCAGAGGAATCAGGCAAGATCAGGGGATAAGTGTTAAGGAATATAGTAATATAAAGGGATTCAGGTAGAGAATTAGGCAATATAAGGGTTCAAGGGCAGAGGAATAGGGTAACATAAGGGTTTTAAAAGCAGAGGAATTAGGTAACATAAGGGTTTAAAAGCACAGGAATCAGGTAATATAAGGGTTTAAAAGCAGAGAAAATCAGGTAATATAAGGATTTAAGGGCAGAGGAATAGGGGTAATATACAGATTTAACAGAAAAAATTGGAATAATATAAAAGGGTTTAACAAAGGAAAAATAGGAATAATACAAGGATTTAACAGTGGACAAATAGGGATAATAACAGCAGAGGAATAGGATAACATTAGGGTTTAATAGTAAAAAAAAACAGGAGGATATAGGGGGATTGACCGTTAAAGAATAAAATAATATAAAAGGTTTAATAGAGGAAAGGATATAAAAATATAAGGGTTTAATAAAAAAAATAGGGATTTTTTTAATATAAAAAATTAATTAAATAAAATCAGATAGTATAAGGAATTGTAATTAATAAAGTATAGGATAATATACAAAATTGCGATTAATAATTGGTGGATTAATATTATAGATTATAGTTTACGGTGTACAGGGTAATATAAGGATATAATTAACAAAAAATAGGGATAGTATAGGAGTTCAAGGGTGGAAGAATAAAAAAAAATAATAAAAGGGTTTGTTATAGTAAAGGAGGATATTAGTTGGTAAGATTTGGGTCAAAGTAAAAAATCAGAGTGGAATTAAAATACAGGTATAAGATAAAATCGGGGGAGGTTATAAGGGTTTAACCGAGAGAGAATGGGAAAGAAAAAAAAGGGATTAATAAAAAAAAATGGATTAATATAAAGAGGTTGTTAATTAATAGTAAGTCGGTTAATAAAAAAGGGTAATTAATAAAGTATTGGTTAATATACAGTTTGGTAAAAGTAGGATTAAACAAAGGGGATGTGGTTAATAAAGTTTAATATAAGGATTTGTGGTTAATAGATGGTAAATTAACATAAGGGTTTTAGAATGGAGGAATGGGGGTTACATAAGGGTTTTAGAATGGAGGAATAGGGTTACATAAGGGGTTTTAAAGTGGAGGAATAGGGTAATATAAAGGGAATAATTAGGGAAGAATAGGGAGACAATGAGGGATTACAATTAATTAAAGGTTAATATCAGGGTTGTATAGCAAATAAATTGGATAATATAAGGATATAAGAAAAGAAAAAATAGGGATTATATAAGGGCAGGGCAGACGATTAGTAAAAGAGGTAGTGGTTGAAGAAGATTAAAATAAGGGGTTGTATTTAATAAAGATTAAAATAAGGGGTTGCAATTAATAAAGATTAATATAAGAGGTGCAATTAATAAAAGGTTAATATAAGGGATTATAGTTAAGGAAGATTAAAATAAGGGGTCGGAATATAATAAAAGATTAATATAGGGGGTTGCGATTAATAAAGGTTAACATAAGAGGTTGTATTTAATAAAGATCAATATAAAAAGGTTGTTATTAATAAAGATTAATATAAGGATTTGTAGTTAATAAGAGTAGATTAGTATAAGGGTTTGTAGTTAATAAGAGTAGATTAGTATAATAGTTTGTGGTTAA